TGTTGGAAGGGGTTAATAGATACAGCTTCGCGTAACAGAATTAATTCTTCTGCATTACTAAACCTCAATCGCTCGCTCCTGGCAGCCATTTTGTCTGTTTCGTTGTCAGGTTAACGACGACCTTAGCGCGTGCACTATGCGTTGAGGAATAAAGTCGTTCCTTACGCGTAGGGTAAGACGTTACAGCTGTAAGGTCCGTCACGTGACTTGTAGTACATAATGACGCCACCTTACGCGTGGTGCTAAAACTCCCTAATGAAGGCTGTGTGCGACAGCGCGTTGTCATGGTGAAGGTGTGCGACAGCGCTTTGTCATGGTGAAGACGCCAAGTGCTGGCGATCTCCTTCCTGACGCGTTTCACTCTGCTTTGGAGCCTTCCAGTTCAGTGAGATAAAATAGTAATAACCAGCAAACGTTTTACGGTTCAAATATGGGCGGGAGCAAAAAGGGTTCCAGAGTCAGACTGTACCGCCCCAGGCCCCCCCCCGAACTTACGCACCTCGAATACGCACAATTCGGGTGTTTCCCGTGGCGTGCACGACACTGCCGACGCACGTGAATACGACGCGAGTGGCACCAACCTTCCGATGCACAATTCCACGCTTACTGTTCCAACTATTTTCAGCGCGCGACCAATGACTCAGCGCGCCGCACTGCCAGTTCCCGCGGTTGCTAGTGCTAACACTTCCCGTTCCTTGGCGTTAACGTAATGAACTGCTGCCTCCACGTGGGTTCGTAAAAAACGCCCTGGCACCAAATAAGAAAAAAACGGGTTCCGAGTCCTGTGACGTGAAATAAGGGAATAAATTCAGATTAACAATAATAACAATAAGTATATTGAAAAGTTACAAACAAGTTACAATAAATTGTTAATTTAAAACCTGCCGGCACCCTTTTTCTTTTCGCGTACCCTGCTTTACCGCAGAAAAAATCTACGCGTGATGCGAAGCTGTCGACTTTCCGTCCCGTGACTATTTACGTCAATGGCCTGACGCCAATAATTAAAACCGTCCCGTCCGGCGGACCGCGTGCCTAGACAGCGCCCGAGATCGTCTGGCCCTTAACTCGGAATCTCGCCCACACTCCTAACCGCTCCTCGTCCTACTCGTCCTGCGCTCTCCGATGTAACTGAATGAGACGCGGGCGCAGATGGGCGCCGAGTGGTAAACTAGT